CATCAAATCAAGGGAGTAATAAAATAACTTCTAAATGATTCTTCAACCGTAAAGTCAAGTGCATTCCAAAGGTTCAGATGGGAATGCTACACGGATCAGAATTTCAGCCTCTGGAAGCGAACATTTCAAGGAAGTGTTGTTTTTGGTTAGCCTTTAGAGTCTGTCCTTTTCATAGGGCACCCCGTATTGATGTGTCATACGGACTGAAGACTACTCCGATGGAGTACTTAGCGTAGTTAGGCGGGATATCATACACCTGATTCTTCTAAATAGCTAAACGAATGATCAGAAAGTGAACTGATAGTTGCATTTGAGTTCAGTTTGGCTTAGGTAACCTTCACACTTCCAGCAAAAACGTTTTGAGGTCGGATACCCCTTTTACTCTAGTATTTCGAGTGCCTCCTACATAAACATATGAAGGTTAACCACTCAAAATTCACTGTGGAAGTAGCAGTGACATCTTTTTCTTGAATGGGCTATGTTAACCGACAGAATCAGTCCTATTGCACACCTTACCACCTCCATGAATTTCAGTTCTTTCTTCCCAAACTGCTTATTTATCTATTTCAATTTATCCATTTTTTTATAACCGAATAAAATCTCTAGATTATGCTGCCCACTAATGATAAACAGGTTAGCATGCGGGATTCCTCTATTAAGGATGAGTTGTAGTTTGATGGGACCAAGCCTTTGAGAATCATACCACACCGAATCGAATATGTAGTGTCAGCTGTAGTTTTTCGCAGCACAAACTGCAATTGTCAAGTTGGTGTCAGCTAGTTATCTGCTTCAGTTAGAATGCGTCAAACTGGCATGTACAGGGAGGCAACTTCCCGCTAGTTCTACAAATGACTGGATTCAGCAGAACGGCGATGACAGCGAAAGTAATTCGTGTGGCACTTGCGTCGGGCAGTCTAAGAATGTTGAAATGGCCATGGTAACAGGATAACAGAACTAGTTGATTCCCTCGTGAATATTCAACACTTACAGATTCTAAATTCACACCCGTTTTTCACGGGATATCACACACAGGTTGATATTTACGATCCACAACAGAGTGACAGGGTATCATTCACACCTTTTATGGAATTCCGTCTTGTTCTGCGTGCACAGTTGGCCGGTTCTGCTACTGGTGCTAAGGAGTGTTGAGATAGTTGAGACAGGCACTGATGACGTGGCCTCTAGCTGAGTCAGACGGAGTGGCCACCAGGGAGAAAAATTGAAGTTAGAGTACGAAGTTAGAGCACGAATCCGAAAATTCTATTTTTGATACGGTAATTTGCCAACAGCGCTACTCGTCGGTAGGGAGGGGTTTATCGTGTCATCAACATGTCTCAGATTGCCAAGCTCAAGTGGTCTCTGCAGTTAGTTTCTGCAAGTAAGTAGCCAGCTTTCTTCAAGCACAATTTTTCAAAGGAGAACCAAGTGTTTCGGGTGATTTTTATCACTTCCTTGTGCGCCATCGCTGGCTATTTACGTGAACTTACTAACAGTGCAGAGTTTCCCCGTCTGGAAAAAAATGTGTGAAGCTCCTCACATTACTGTACTTGAATCCACAAAGTGCGCTGCAGATGAGATGCCAAGTGACGTGGGTAGCAATGAAATTAACCGTTGGATGGAAATCTCTTTTTCCAAATTTACTGATTATTCCGCTTCCGTCGGCAGGAATTTTGACGAGAACCAAAATGCAGAGAGAGTGAGTTTATTAAACTAGTGTTTTTCAGAGACGCCTCTGACTACCCGAGAAATTTAATAGGTTGCTTCTCTACAAATATCGGAGAAACCGTGCGAGTTGAAACACAAGGAGTTGAAGACGCACCCTAGGATTAAGGGAAATTTTTGACAAGCATTGCTAAAGATTTGAGCTGCTGCTAACAAGTAATCCTGATGTTTGGTTAAGGAGCTCGAAGACAAGACACCTCCTAGAAATGATAACATTATCTTTACACCGTGTGGGAATACTGTGTCCGGACGCTAAATGTGTAGGGAAGGACACATTCAGACACCAACCTCCTCAATCAATCAATCAGTTTTCTAGGTGACAAACACAACCCACATACACAAGGGTGTCAGCGACCAATAAACCAATTAAAAACCAAAATCTCGTCATTAAGCCCGTTTTCAGTAACATGTCATCCCGTTCTGACAAAGTTTTTTTCCAATGCAATTTAGAGAGCTGAGGAAGGAAGTGTATGGTAAGAGCTGTCCGACATTGGTCACTACACAATCACCTAGACGTGAATGTTCGTAACACCAATGAAGATTATACTATCGCAACTTGCAATGAAAAGGATATGGTTAAGGAACTGTGTGGAGTACAGGTCCCATGTGATATCAAACTTCTTCAATCCAAAATTACTTAAACACCTGAAAACTTCAGTGAGTACCTTCTTGCTTATTGCATATCTTTGTTAGGCGATTAAGCTTAGTCAGCTACTCCGAAATAGACTGAAAACTGTAACCTCAGCTACTGTAAGTAAACGAAGCTAACACAGCCATGATAAACGAATGAATCTTTGTCCTGAAGTCGGTTTTTCCAACATATTCTTATGTGTGTAGTCACACTTTCTTGGTCTAAAGTGGCTGGTCATTCTAAACGTAAGCTAACCGTCGGAGCCAAGCGAAGAGAACCCGCAGACATTTCACCATATGTAACAGAATCAAACTCATGCTTTGTAAGTCATGGGGCTATGTACTTAGCAAACATGAAACAATCATGAGGTGCCATAGTGACGTAATAACGTAACTCTTCAATTTTCCATTGGTTTCGTGCTTTCCATTGGCCAGTCTTTATTCTGAATCTTTTAGTCTCAAAACACCCTTCAGTGTAGATATTTCATAAACATCAGTTGTCTTAATCTTAACAGATCCTAAACGCAGCAGCTCACTTTGCCAGTGAGATACAAGTGAGCCTGATTCTAATGCACAATTGAGTACATTTGAATGCAGCACAGTGACTTTTTCGCAAACATGAAGGTCGTGTTTGGTTCGTAACAAGTCTCGGATC